CAAAATAATTAACTTTAGTGGATCGCACGCAAAAGCTTCGCCTACGCAATAAAATTGCCGGTCAGAAGTACGGTTCCGCAAACAAAATCAACATATGAGTCATCAAATTATAAAGAAAAACCAGGTGTGAGCGTGCCAAAAATATTCGACATTTATTGTTGTCAATATTTGTTTTTCTATCCACGTGCTTATGTCGCAGTAGAAAGCCGTGAAACTCCCTATAAAATTATTTTGGGCAGTGTTTCCGACGGTGCTCCCTCGATCGTAAAATGCCGCTTTGTTGCTACTTTGGCGAATCAAACAAGGAAGCCACGTTCACCTACAATGCCCTGTCCACAAGAAGGGAAATCGAAATTTTCGCTTCGTTTTCTTTTTTTTTAATATTCTTCTCTTCTGCACGATATAGGGTATGAATTATTATTTTTCCCTGTACTCTCACTGCGACGAACAGTCCGATAGACGAGTCACCCTATGACAAAGATGGGGGTCCCGAAAATCTCCTAAAATCGTGTTTGTTCTCAGAGACACATCCGTGTGTAAGAAAAACCGCGGCCCTCTCCACGAAGTACGGACATATTTGATAAATAGCGTTGACTTGAGGTTGAACTTTTCATTTGCTTTGTAAACACCAGCGTGACGTCACGTGCGCATCCCACGCGACCCGACGGAAGTCTGAACTGGTGTACTATGTGTGGACAATAGGGCATTATTTTGACTTCCCGGCCGCGACGACCTTGGCGAGGGAGGACAGATGGGGGTCCCGAAAACTCCTAGAATCGTGGTTTGTTCGCAGGGACACACACATCCGTGTGTAACAAAAAACGCGGCCCTCTCCACGAAGCTTACACAGGCATTGTTGTGTAACTACTGAAGATGCCTCCCGCAAGGGAGGCGAAACGTCTAGTGAAATTGTTCTTTCCTGTTCTGTGAAGTCGGTGCTTTTTTTTAATTATGTTACCAGTCGGCCTGTGTGACCAGTGCTCATTTGAAGAATCGCCTTTGTCTTTCCTGAACCCTAACAAAAACACCCTCATAACATTTTTTTTTACTGTTCGGCTATGTTGGCATAGCCTATAATCGACATAATTTTTGCGAAAGCCTACTTTTATTTTATAATTATTTGTAACCATTTCTAACTGAAGAAGTGACAAGTATAATAATTATATTATGATTTTATATCAAAATTCGACGAACCGGGAGATGCGAAATTCGGTGAAACAGCTTTTCAAAAAAATATCCGGTGCCCGAAACTTGCTTATATTAAAATGTCTAACATGTGTATGTGTTCTAATACAGAAGATGAGTGCAATGTGGAAACTGAATGGCCTCACAGACAATTGTCAACGAGTTGGAATTTTTGATGAATTACCCTTTGTCGAGTCATCCTACTACCGATTGGCCTCTTCAATCAATTGCCCGTCGACAAATATTGTTGTTGGTTTATTTGCCATCTGCTGTAAGGGGAGAGTGTGGGGCTCGTCAAGCCGACATCTGCCAGCATTTTCATCACGCCTCCAGCGCCTGTACCGACTGACGCCGACGAGTTGGCCTAGAAATAAATACCCACGGACTATACTATAGCCGCTAAATATCTCTACGCGAGCATGATTTGTTTTCAAAGGGGCACCCGCCTGTCGGTGCTTCTTTGAATTATACATACGTCACGGTCAAAACGTTCCGCAGCTAATGAGTGAAGGCCGACCAACCTATTTTGTCCAATTGTCCGTGCATGGGAGATGAGAATGCCGCTGCGTCAAAAACAAGACGTGTGCGAGCGTTGCTAAAAATAGAGACCACTATCGATGTTTTAGTATACATGGTTTCATTCTTAGTCAGAGCGCAAACAGAGGTTAAATGTCACGAAAACACATACACAAAGACAAAAAGCACTTTATCACGGCGCATTGTATGAGTTGTTATATTAGTGGGTGGAATCACCCAAACAAAGATAGTGAACGCCGTGGCGTTTAGGTGTTGAGCTGTTGGTGATGCTTGATCGGCGCGATGTGTCAGTCGAGCTCCAACTGAGGGTGATATGAGGCGGGGCAGCTCTGTGGTTTTACTTGTTGTTTATTCTGGTGTCTTTCGTTTTTGCGCGAAATATTGCGGATCACAACAGCTAGGCATCTTCGTCCGATGAAGCTCTGTTTTACTGATTGGCGTTTCATCGAATAGTGGACATTTCATCGAGCACCGCTTCATTGAACGCCAACTCATCAAGTAGCTTGATCGAATTATGTTTCTGCTATCAAATTATTGCAGATATAATAACTACGCTCGTCATATTTTGTAAATAACGGTAGCCTTTAGCGAAAATTGTGTTGCATAGTTAGTTTCGGCCGTCAGCAAATAGTGAAAAATATCTATCTACCTATCTCTCTCTCTCTCTCTCTCTCTCTCTCTATATATATATATATATATATATATATATATATATATATATATATATATACAAAGACAAAAATGCGTACTGTCAGAGTTACTAATTCGAAGTTTACTACGACGTTTCGAGCGGGGACCACTCTTCATCACCTAATGAAGAACGGTCCCCGCTCGAAACGTTGGAATAAACTTCGAATTAATAACTCCGACAGTACGCATTTTTGACTTTATATATATATATATATGTATATATATATATATATATATATTTTACTAATACAATGTCTGGACATTTACACTTACCAAGTAACCATTTTCAACTGATTTGAGACTGTGTTGCGCTTATCCCGCTCTTATTTATTTATTTTTTGTTTCTCTTGTTTCTGGCCTTTTTAGTATAGGCTTCCACCAGCTCGCTTGCGCGTGAACTCTAATTTCAAGTGAAACAAGTTTGTAAATTAGGGTGACACTATATCGGTTTGAAATCCTATACCAATTTTATTGCCATTTGGTGAGCCACGTACGAATTTTGAAATATATCTTTTCATCCAAATAATCGATTAGTAAATCGAATAGCGATTCGGACGAATTTACTACGACGGGAAGAACGAATTTGCAAATCTCATGGCAATTAGGAAATTTCAGCCATCCTTGGTTTCCGATTGGTCGCGCTCAGTAGCGGCTCCCTCCGCACAGAGTAGCCTCGAGTCAAAATTCGCGGAGTCTCTACTGACCGGCCAAAAAAGTGCGGCGCTTCAACTGCTCCCGCCCAGACGGCTTGATGTATTTGTATACGCCCATGACATCGGCCGCGATCGGCGATTGAGGTTCCGTTAGCCGACGCAAGCGTCAGCGGACGTCTCATAATTTCATACTCTCATTTAACTACAGAAACAAAAACAAAAAAAAAATCATCCAGTTCATGTTCACTATGTTCACCACTGACATCTTAGTCGGTAGTCGACGAGTTTCCGTGCAAAGCCGATCAAAACGAGGCACCAGATCAACTTTTACGGCTGCCATCAGGAAAGATCTCCATGGCTTGTCGCGTTCCCTCAACGTCACTCCGAATATTGTTTGTGCCCCGCGCACCATCCTCTTGTAGCAATATTTTTATTGTCCCCATGTGATTTCTTTTTTATGTTCTTACTGGTGTTTGATCATAATTCGGTCATTGAAATTGTTTTTGCTGCCGACCCTACCATTATTTTGACCCTCTGGCAGCAAAGGAATATTATGCCGGCATTACACACGAATTAAGAATGTAGACACTCCGTCCCATATCTCAAATTACATCACAATGTTTTTACACAACTGTAGTGCAGAGGTACGATGAGCAGGGTCTGAGAAAATATTAGTTTCAGTATTTTCAAAAGAGCGACGAAACAAAATAAAGAAAGGACCGCCAATCGGCAGCGCGTGCAAGCAGAGGCAGTAGTGACAGGAAGCGCGAGGTGTGTCTTTCGTACGGCCGGCATCAACTTATGCACTGTCCGAAGATGTACTCTGTTTTACTCGTAGGATTGCAACGCTGCGGAATGTAGGCGTGTGATTTCAGAAAGCGCGTCCTACCATTTCTACGCGCGAGTGCTCCTGCAACCCAAGCATTGTATACAGTTACGTCCTCGCGCCCGTGCCTTGGCCAGCCCCGTACACAACTTATGCAGTATCGAAAAGGCATAGTTCAAAATTGACGGTCCCACTTTTCCATACCGCTTCAAAACCCCATCTCGCTCAAATCACTTGGCAGCCGGACAATTTTGGCAGGGGGCCTCAAGTTGGGGATTATCCGGTACATTGTCCTCCCAACAATGAACGTGGGCGCGACGCGCCAGAGGGTGAACACGTGAAAGGAGGGGCGTAAGAGTGGAGAAGGAAACTCAAGGTCGCAAGCGACGGAAAAAAGGGTTTCGAAATTGGCGCGCAGGTTTTGCAGCATTTGCTCATACGGACAGCCAACGCCGCCCTGGTGGTTCAACTAATGTTTTGTTCAAGATGGCCGCCGTGGTACCGCAGCCTTAAAACGAAGTTCATGTACTCTGCGAACGACTCGTCGGTCACCATGACACTTCAAACTCAAGTCGAGGACCGGCTCGAGGAACAGCCGTACCTACCTTGAGATTCTCGAGAAAAGAGTCGCGTATTTCCTCGAGTCGAAGAGCGTTTGGAGTGGAGTTCAGCTTATTAAGCTCAAACACGGCCTCGAGTGGAGTTTCGAGTCGAGTTCAAGTCGAGTTCATATCGAGGCCCCTTTATTAATTCGGCCATCAGGGTATTGGGATGCTATATTCTGCTTTTTCCCGCTCACTAACCATTTCACCTGAACACGGTTTGAATGACGCTACGTCATCCTGGGTCAGTCATTAGACGGCAGCGTGCGGGAAATTTCGCTTCATTCGTCTGTCAGTTGGTCTACATCGCAGTCGCAGCTGAAAAGAAAAACGTAACCGAAATCCGGAATGCTTAGGTGTAAACCTCATCAGTGTTAATCATGCGATTCATTTATTTTGTCGTTGACCCTTTCCTCTTTGTGGGAGTGCTGCATAACACGCTGTTTGATCTTATTTTGACCAACATTTCCTAAATATCTTTTAATTTTTCTTCATCCCCCATAACAGTGTGTCCAAAAGTCTGGTTTCAATCTCGGAGTCCTGGCCAAGTGCAACAATGGCCCCGAGGGTAATAAGCTTCAGGCACGGTACGCAGAGTGGTCTGAGAGTGTGAATCCACAGAAACGTTTGTCTTTTGTTCCATGGATTCGAATGGATAGGGTAGGTTCCGTTCGATGTCAAAACAAATAAAAGTGCGTACTTAAAAAAAAGTACTGTACACAATACATTTAAAACGACTTTGGTCGCAGCACGTTAATTGTGATTTTGGAAATATAACGTGGTGTATTTACCCGTTGATAGATACTCGGAAACACATACCAGCTTATTCTTAACCAATTAATGTACGCATATTTTTCTCTTTTTAAATAATCCGCTAAGCAAGGATATAATTTTCAGATAACATTTTTTTGCAAGTGCTGGAAGTTGATATTTCAAAGACTTACCAATGTTTTTGAAATTTCTCAATGTATACATTTATTGACCTACTTTCAGAAAGACAAAATGTACGAAGCTTACCGTGGCTTCAAAGAAACTCTCTACGAAGTATGTGCTAACAAGATCAAGGCACATGTTTAGATGTGAGTGTATTACTAAAACAAGAAGAACGACCAATGTGTAGAAATTCGCTTTAGACCTTGCGTAAACTGAGTAAATCAACACTCATGACATCCGCCTACTGCGTCAATAGACCTTTTTCAGAATTCCCCAAGCACCAAGGAGAATGCTGAAACGTAGGTACACGCCTTGCATGTGCTGCCGTCTGCAGTAGTGACTGTTCAAAAACAAAACAAACAAAAAAAAAACGCGTGCGTGATGCATTTTGGATATTTACTTGGGGTATTTCATGCAAAAAAGGCGAGTACGTGTGGCGCGCGTACCTACGTTCCCAGCATGCTCTTCTGTGCTTGACTAATTTAGAAAAAAGTATTTTGACCACTTCAATTTATGTAGGATAGTTTTTATGACGATAGCAAGATTACCCTATTGAAAAATATTTTTTACCGGCATGTCATTTCCAGTAAAAGTCTATTTGACTGGATTATGGGACTGTTTTCACTTCCAGTAAAGCCGTAGTTTACCGGAATGTCGGTGGATATCCTACTGGAATGTCACCGGTTGTTTTGCAGGAATGTTACATGATTTTTACCTGAATGTCATCATATATTTTATCAGAATGTCACCGGAGTTTTACCGGAACTTCATTTCCAGTAAAAATCTGTTTTACTAGATTATGCGACTCTTTTCACTTCCAGTAAAAGCAGAATTTACCAGAAGATAACCAAATTGGCCGGAATTTACCGTGTTTTTCTTTTTTTTTTTTTTTTTGGACGTCAACGGAAGGCACTTAGGAGGAAGCCTACGAACCGTGGTTGGTTATGCTTACCAGATGCTGGACGATTCGGTAACAATCGGTTAGCCCATATAGACCTGAAGGTTCTATGTATTTATTTAACAGGGTAGATACCAGTGAAATAATTTGCACAGCTGTAGACAAAATCAATCAGACCAAATAGGAACAACCAAGTTCTTTGCCGCAAAATATATCTTTCAAGGTACTTACAATGCCGCTGGGTAAAATCCTAGACGCACGGTAGTTTAACTAATAAAACCGTGCAGGTGCACCACACGGGCACACACGCGTATACTGTCAGCAGCACGTTTAGCGAAACCACGACCGCGCGGAGCAAACATCCTCCGCCGTTGAGAAATCCCGGGCACACTCACGATGTCGTCCCCGTTGCCGTCGCTGCGGGTGCACCAGGCGTCAGTAGCACGCTTAGCGAAAACCACGAACGCGCGAAACTAACATCCGCCGCCGTTGAGAAACCCCAGCCACACTCACGATGTCGTCCCTGATGCCGCCGCCGCGTGTGCGCAGGCGTCACTAGCACGCTTAGCGAAAACCACGAAAGCGCGAAGCGAACATCCGCCGACGTTGAGAAATCTTGGGCACAGTGTTTTTCGCTCGCTGGATGCTTCTGAAGACGGACGGACAAAGAGGCGTAAGAAACAGGTCACTGAAAAAAATGTTCTTTTCATCTGCACAACCAGCTGCTTTGGAAGATACAGGTGGCACACATGGAACGAGAAGCCGAGACTGAGCGTTCGTTCCTGGCCGGCCGTTGCTCGTTGACGGACAAAGCGACCGGTTTTCTTTAAAAAAAAAGTCAGCAAAACGACCCTGTTGCATTTTCCCCACGAACCCAATGCGAGGGAGAGAGGGTGCGTGGGGACTCGCCCTTGGTGCTAGGCACCATAATTACATACCCAGTCCCCGGCTCGTCTCGGCTTCCCCTTCCCCTCGCGTCGGCTTGGAGTGAATTCGAAGGTTGGTAAACAGGGAAGCGAGTCAACCGTTTCGGGTAAGATTTCTGGGAAAACCGGGTCGTCTGGTATACGAAAGGGGCTGCCGGTGACATTCGAGCGAAATCTGTTTGCCGGCAAATAATCTACCAAACTGGTAAACTGGTTTCGGATGAAAACGGGTTAAAGTGCCCACCTTTTTGGATCGTCAAAACAGTTCACTGCACGAACTTCTTGAGGATTGCAACGTCGTCCCGAGCTAAAACTCGCACTCACGAGAATGCCGCTCGAGTGGTCTCGTACCTGCTCTGGCTCAGACTTTTGCCTGTCGAAAATATCAAGTTGCCGGTGATCACTGCCCACCTTTTTGGATCGTCAAAACAGTTCGCTGCACACACTTCTTGTAGAATTGCAACGTCGTTTCAAGCGTGTGAGGAAAAGCGGGGAGAAACGTATATTTATGATGTTTTTTAGGTACTGAAAAGTAATGTGTTTATTTTTATCATCACTACTGTTGTTTGTGCAAGTCGCATCAAAATGCCTTATATTACAGACAAGTGTCGATACAACAATAATTTGTGGGAACTGAAGTAACCGAAAAAAGACCAACACACTGGTAAAAAAAAGACAAGACGGTTGGTTACCATATTTGCGAAGTGTATATGAAGTGTAATTTTTTAATAAAAATTTCATACCAATTAATAAACTTTACAGCCAACCTTATTTTTATTATGGTGTTTCAGCCAAAAGTCTAAACATTTTATGTCTACTCATAGTTAATTGCTTTTAAGTGAAGTGGAATCTTACTTTTTACTGCTCATTTAAGAGAAAAACTCTGTACATAACTCTTCCCATACATTTACTTCATACACATCTTCCCTACCTTTCCCTAGTCCACTTACCCGACCGAGGCCAGTGTGTTACCTTTGTGAAAATAGAGAGAATCAAGCAATGTAATAATCTTATCACTTTAGTAATATCATTTTTGTACCAGAGCCGCATTTTGTGTATAGTCGATGCGCACTGAGCATTGCTTCAGAATAACAGTAAGTATAAACACCACGAAAAAAAAATACTTTAGTCTCACATTTAATTGCAAGCATCAGCGATAGTGCGAAAGCTACCAGCAGGTGAGAAATTAAACCCACATTGCTTGTAGGCTGTTCTTGTGCTTAGCAGACACCGGAATTCGTTTTTATTATAATGCAATTAAATGCAAGGTGCAAGCGAGCTGGACAAGAATGACGAAAGTAAACCCTGGAGAAGGGGAACAAGAGGGACAAATATTTATATATTAAATGCACGGGCTTCTATTGGAGAGTTGCGTAACCCGCCACGGAGATGGCGCAAGCATACGATGGCATTCATTTCTGGGTATGTTAGTTAACGTTGGCCTGTATATGACAAAGAATAAGAGCAAAATCACAAAATGTTTTACTTGTCTTTTCAATATTCTAATCCTCCACAGTTAGAGTAACAATATGAAACAGTGATTACAAAATGAAAACATTGACATCCAAGTGCTTTATGGTGCACCGCGTGCAGTTAAATCTTGTACATGCTGTGCGTGACATTCCCTAGTTTTCGTAACGAGCAACGCTCCCATTTTTATGTAGGAACGCTGCACCAGCCGAGAAGCGCTCATTGCCGACAATAATTGAAAACACATTGATATTTTTCCTCTAATGACTTCGGGTTCATGATATTTGTTGCGGATTATGGCCTTCGTAAGAATCCGCATGTTTGATGTGCAAAATTAAAAAAAAAAGTCTAAGGCTTGGTTGATCCTTATGATTCGTCGAAATAGGAATATTGCCATGAATTAGTAAGGACTTAGCTATCCTTACAAAAAATATTATTTTGTTGTGATTTGCTCTTGCTTTTAAACTAATAATCGTCAAGAAAATTTGCATATGAGCGGATTATAGTCTAGATTTTTTTCGAGACCGCTGACTTGTGCGCACGCCAATGTGGTGATGTTGAAATGTGGATAACTCAAATCTAACTATAAATATGTGCCGGCTCCAAAAGCAAGCCCGGCGGGACAACTGGCTACTCACTGCAATAGGTTCACTTGCTCACGTCATTTAATGACATCAAGGGTGTAGTGAGAAACAAAGAGGCAGTGTCAGGCAAGTGAATTCATAATGCTTTTGTAATAAGAACCATAGATAAGTGTATCACATGCTAAGCTTGAATTTTTGAGAACATACGGGTTCCTGCCGGCTTCAATAAGACTAGTCTTTTTCATTGGTCTAGAAGTAGATGGTGTTTTCCCCACTAAACTTAGATGCGATTTCTCCCTGTCCTGTTTTGTACTTGTTCGTCCTTATGTTTATTCGGCACTCTTTTCTTGTTTATAATGAAAATGCGTGCCAACACTTTAGGACAAGGGTTGGATTTACATTGACCATTTCAGCGTTAAAATTTGCAGGGTTCGGGTTCCCATAAAAGTGGACTTATTGCTCCGTAAGTACCCAAGTGTTACTACACTTGATGTCTTGCGTAGTTTCCGAGGAACGTGTTACTCGCCGAGGAGCAAAGGCAGACAAAGAGAAAGAGAAAACGCTTCGATGGTCCATCGTATCGGCGAGCTCGGTATGAAAAGTTTTCCTCTCGAAGGAAAGTAAATATTCCTTAACGGGGTCTATGGACAGTTTCGCGGGACGCGTCCTGCCTAGTGTATTGGTAACGAGCATGTATAACGCAAGTTGTAAGCAAAAATGTAAATCAAAATTTATATTTCTTTCATTACTTCGTGATCCCAGTCGCCATCCGCGGTTGAATCAAAAATTGTAGAACACTTGACACCTAGCTTACTCAATTGAGAACCTTGCCCAGTGTTACCAATCTGGAATTGCCGGGGTAACAAAATTTGATTTCTAGAACACATTTCAAACACATTAGGTTATGGTGTTTTCAAGAACTGTTTGTTTATTGCGGTTCATTTCATTCTTTGCACGAGCACTCCACGTGGAATGGAGTACAGGTTCAAAAGACTTTGACCAGGCGTTCTCAGATCAACAAATTCTGCGGAAGAAAAGAAGTAGGCTGTTAATAATAATGTCGAAAAAGCAAACACTCCAAAAACAACCACTATAACCCACGTTCAGTTTTGTCGGTTAGTCTTTAAATCTCAAATGTAAACGCTTATTTATTTATTGTATATTATATAATTTAGTAGGACATTGACTTCATTAAGATAAACCCTGAGATTTTTGCCTTACAAAAAATAAATAGTGCAAATTATATTTGTACAATATTCATACCTC